CTTTTTATGCTCTGCTGACCTTCAAACCCCAGAAGCTCAGAGATGGGGCCACCTCTGCCTGCACAGGTCCTCCTCCACATCTCAGTGGGGTACAGGGGCAGAGATGGGGTGGAGACAGAGGCCCCAGCATCTCATCCATCTCCCTGGCCCGGCTGCCTTAACTGCACCTCACTCTGCTCTGTGCCTTTCTCCTCCCCCCGCTGGGGCCGAGGAGCTGATTGTAGGTGAGCTCAGCCCCCCAGCCAGCAAGGGCTCCCCAGGGCAGAGGGTGCCCTGGTCCACCCAGACAGCTTTGATGAAAGAAGAGAGAACCTAATCATTGAGTGGGGGGTGGAGGGGCCCTGTTCTGTCATTCCCTCTTTACCTGGCATGAATTAGGGAGCTAATCAATTGGGGAGGTGCCTACCAGGCAGAGATGCCCTTCCTAACCTTTTCCTACTTGGTATTCAGAACCTATTTCACTTCCCGTAGCAGAACTTCTAAAAAAGTCACATCATAAAGCACATTAGAATTCATCTGAAGTGGTTCCCATAAAAATGATTATTATTGTCTAGTGATGATCTAGGTGAGCTCGGGCTTAGCACCGGAACTGAGGGAGGATGTGCCCCTTGCCCTGGGGCCCACCCACTTTGTTCTGCTCCAGGAAGCACTAAGGAAGTTCTGCCCAATGTTTCCAAGGCCAGCTCCCCCCACCCCCTTCACTGCATCCCCGCCAGCTCTCCTGACTTCCATACCAGCATTAATACACAGTGTCCAGGAGAAAACAAAAGGAAATGGGCTGGAGCCCCCAAAAGCTTGCTTACCTGTGATGGCCCCTTCTTCCCTCCCCTGCACTTCAGTCCCCTACCCCTGCTCTGATGCTCAGATCTGGTGTGGCAAAGAGGTGTTTTCTGGAGGGAAGGGCTTTCCCTAAGGATGACACTCGAGGACTTAGGATGGAGAGGAGCCCTGAGAAGTTGGACGGCCATCTCCTCGCCCCAAGCAGGGACTCCTATAGCCTTGAAGGCAATGACAGCACCTTAGTCATCTCCCAAGGTGGGACCTGGGCAGGGCAGATGTGCCTCCTTAAAGCATGTTCCCTACAAATATACAGCGTGGTGCAAAAGTAGGTTTACAGTTGTGAGTATGTGAACACAGTTTATTCTTGTATTATTATTTACTAACTAGAGGCCCGGTGCATGAACTTGTGCACTAGGGGATCCCTTGGCCTGGCCTGTAGGATTGGGTTGAAACTGGCTCTCCGACACCCCCAAGGGGTCCCTGATTGTGAGAGGCACCATTGGTTCACGTTTGGGGCCGGGGAGGGATGCGGGGAGGGAACCCAGGAGGGCTCCAGGCATGTCCAGCCCGTCTCACTCAATCCCCATCGACTGGATCCCAGCAGAAAACTAACCTACTGGTCAGAGCATCTGCCCCCTGGTGGTCAGTGCACATCATAGCAAGCGGTTGAGCAGTTTTAGCATATCATTAGCATATTAAATATGCCTTGATTGGTTAAACGGCCAATAGGACAACTGGACACTTAGTGTATTAGGCTTTTATTATAAAGGATTATTGTATTATTTTCCATACGAAAACCTATAAACCTACTTTTGCCCCTCCCTGTACAACCTTGCAGAACTAACCTATGGTGTCAGAAGTCAGGTGAGTGCTTGCCCTTGAGGGATCAGATGGGGCTTCATAACAGATTAAAGGGGTGCATTGACTTTACCTCTAGACACTTAGAACTGCGCCCCCTTCTGAACGTGCATGACACCTCAACGAAATGTTTATCCCAGAAGCCCTTTGTCAAGGGGAGATTGTTAACACCTCCATACTGATACCACTGAGATGAAATCATTTCTGCCAGGGAGGGGCGGCTCAGATCGCAGAAAGCAGTGCATGATGCACATTGTTCTCAACCTGGACTTGGAATGAGGGCATTAGACACAGCACACACTTTGTTTGCAAAAGATTTGCCTCTGGAAGTGTACGTGCTCTTGCTAATATTAAACTTAATTGGCAATTTCTGAATACATGCTACTCAGTCTTGGGGGTGAGATGGCCCAGAAGCATTCCACGTGGCAGGGAAGTCAGACTGAGGGAGGGTTAAGAATCTGACATGGTCATCCCCGCCCCCCCCTCCTGTCCCTTTGCTCAGTGTGGGATGTGGTCGCTGTTCAGGTCGCTGGAGCGTACATTTCTCTCCTGCTTTGGTGGGTAACAGAGTCGGGTTTTGGGCGAGAGACAGCTCTCCTTAGTGTGAGTGGTCAGAAAGAAACTGCTCATTGGAGGAGGCCCGAGAGCCTGGTCCCAGGTTGGTGACTGTGGTCCCCCTGTTTGCAAGGTGCCCCTCCCCGTGGCAGATCCCTTTGCGTAGCCTTTACCCCACTCGTCTCATCAAGAGGCAGAGTCTCTGTCCCAATCCTGTGAACCTGCATTGGCCTTTGACTTTAAAAAAACATGTATTTTTATTGATTTCAGAGAGGACGGGAGAAGGAGAGAGAGATAAAAACATCAATAATGAGAGAGAATCATTGATCGGCTGCCTCCTGCACGCCCCCTACTGGGGATCCAGCCCGGCCATGAACCCTTGACCAGAATCGAACCCGGGACCCTTCGGTCCGCAGGCTGATGCTCTATCCACTGAGCAAAACCAGCGAGGGCGGCCTTTGACTTGCTTTGACCAACAGTACACGGCAGAGGCGATGCTGTACGACTTCCCAGCCTCGGCCTCGACAGGCCCTGCAGCTTCTGGTCCCTCCACTTGGGACACCTGATACTGCCAGGTGACGCAGTCGGGTCCAGTCCCCTGAAGGGTGAGAAGCCACAGGAAGCAGAGATGAGCTGTCCCAGCTGAGGTCCCCAGACCACCCAGCCGACAGCCAGCACCAACCACCAGACATGTGCACGAGGCCACTTTTACTAGTAGACCCCCTGGCCATGCCAGCCACCAGCTCACTGCACACCAGTGGACCAGGAGGGACTAGCCCAGTTGTCCACCCACAGAACCACGAGCAGATGAGACACTAGCTCTAAGCCATTAGGCTTGGGGGGTTTGTCACACAGCAACTCATAGCTGATACAGTGACGAGGGTCCCTGCCTGAGCACCCACTGGACCGTGCCCTTAAATAGTCTGTCCATTCCCCCCACTTTTTGCCCAAGATAGGTTTCTTTGATCATCCCCACCAGAGTCCAGGGCTGACACAGCTGTGCCCATTGCTCTTTATTAGTTTAATGTATGTTGAAGCCTCCAAATAGATGCCGGGGCCCAGGTGGAACAGATGAAATGTGACTAAGTTCTGGGGATGATTGATAATGAGTAGGGACTGGAAAATCAATTGTGTTAATTCCTGGTCTGTCACTGGGACCGAGAATTAATGAGAAAATCTGTCTAACTTAATGGTATTTACACATTATACAGAGTGTGATAAAATTGTCTGTGGGTGCTGCCTGGCATTCCAATTATATAAGGCCTGCACAGCCAGAGGGGCAGGCAGGTGGGAGCTGCCCTGGACCTGGGCTGGGCATGTAGAGGCCTCGTGGAATCCCCCAGTTTCCACACTAACCCCTGAGTAGGTCCCAGGCCCCTGTATGGATCTCGTTGGCATAGCTGATCCCTGCTGAGTTGCGGGCCGTCCAATGTCTCAGGGATTTTCTGGAAGGCACATTTGTGCACCTCCTTGGAGGATAACCCCTCCAGAAGCCGTGTGTGCAGGTGGACAAGGGCTAGGGGTGGCTCAGTCTTATGTGTTGCCTTGAATTGAGAGACACAGGTGGTCCTCCTGACACCCAGGCGCCTCCCCCAGGGAAGGTCAGCAGCAGCCCTACCCTATGCCACGCTCACCCAACCCTTGAGAGCCTCATGGAAACTGATGGAAGAGTCCGCTTTGGAGTCTGAGTGTTTGGAGAGTCTGTAGACTAGGTCTTTTGTCCTGCCTAGAGCTACCCACGGAGGTGGCCCCTGAGAACCCCCAGCTTTTGGTAGTCACCCCCTTGTGTGGTCTTCTCTCATACCCAATAGGGCTGACCTGGGGATGCAGGAGACAATTGCTAAAATGACTGTATGTGGCTTCTGAGGCCAGTTCATAAAACACCATGGCAGCTTCTGCCTGCTTCCCTCCCCTATCACTCACTCTGGGGAAGCCTCCTGCCAACCACCAGCACCACAGGAGTGAGCCATCTGGGAGGGAGAGCCTCCGGCCCCGGTCGAGCCTTCAGATGACCACAGCCCTGGCAGCAACCTCAAGAGAGACCCGGAGTGAACTTCTCCCCCAGTGTCTGACCCACGGACCCTGGGAGAGATAATAGATCTCAGTGTTTATTATTGTCTAAGTGGCCTTGTGGGGATAATTCGTTTTGCAACAATGGATAACCAATACAGGTGGGGCGGGAGATGGGAGGACAGGGCCAGGAGTATCGCACATCAGGGTGTGGAGCCGATGGAAGACATCCCCGTGTGGCTTCTGCACATAATTCAAGTGAAACCCACTTCCCAGACACTCCCTGCCCCTCCCACCTCTGTGCTTTGAATATGCTGCTTCCTCTGCCTGCTTCTCCCCCTCTTTCTCTCTTTTCATCTGCAGTAAACTCCCTGTCAGCCTCTACGGTCCAGCTCCCATGTGCCCTCCGGTGAGGCCTTCCCAGACTCTCTCGGGCAGTGTTTGTCACCTTCTTTGACCCCTCTCCCCCAAATGCCCTGTTTCTCAATAGATGCCTGAGGTTGGGCTGCAATGATGGGTTCCATCAGCTCTGTAGTTTTGAACCTGAATTTCATTAATCAACTCTGCTATCCCTCCCTGTTCACTGGCACCCGGAGGATGCTCCATGTAAGGGCGTTGAATGAATAAATGAACAGATGAGCCAGCATCAAAGGCAGCCTGGGCTAGAGGATCCATACGGAGTCTGCAGGGCCCGGAGGAGGGCAGGGCTTGGCCTGCATGAATGGAAGGGGCCTGAGCTGTTTATCGGCCTGCGTCTGTGAGTTTCAAGTCTGCTCATCCTAACCCCAGCAAGGGGGGTGTGTCCTCACCACACCCCTTTCAGAATCCTGCCCTTTTTACCCACTATTTCCTGTGCCCGACAGGCAGCCCTCCAGGGTTCCTTCCCTTTCTCCAAACCTGGAGGGCAGATGGACGGCAGTCAGACAAGTCTGATTCCTAAGCAGGTTCAAAGGTCTTTTCCCAGGGACCCCGAGCTTGTCTCTCTTTTCTCTGTCTCTGAAGTGCCAGGGCAGCAATTTGGATCTTGCACGCCCTGAGCAGGGTGGCAGCCAAGTGCTTTATTGCACAGAACGGATTTGTTCTGTGGGGAGTCCTTGGCCTGAAGGATAGCTTCGTGTCCTGGTGTGGCATAGCGCCCCAGCGTGGCCCTGCCCTGCTCTTGTTCCTTGTCTAACGGGAAGAAGGCTGAGGGGGGCTGAGGACAGGGAGGGGTCACCCGCAGTCCTATTGCTGCTCAGTCCTACTTACTGAGGGCCCAGCCAGTAAGTCAGCTCTCTGAGGGCGCGTGGAGAAAGGGGCAGAGCTGAGATTTGCTCCCAGGCTTATCTGACTTCAGAGGCCCTGCTCTTGACCATTGGGCCACCTGCCTCAGCCTGGCCCGGCCGTTCCATGGGTAACGCAGGCCCACAGCTCCCGGCCCATCCAGGGGTCCTGTCGGATTTGGCAGGACCGAGTCAGTGGCTGGAGGGCATGACAGCCGGGGGCGGCGGTTCCTGGTCCCTGACACCCACAGGCTCCTCCAGCTCCCAGAGCCAATCAGACTCCGTGGTTCCCTGCTTGGCTGAATTCTGCCGTGCTTGGCGACAGCGGAGGGTCGTTGTCATCTCTGGTGTGGGGCTTATCTTTTGGAGCTCTGCGGGGCATGAGGAAACCTGTGAACCAAGGGAGGCGAAAGCAAGATGAAAGAGGTAAAGGATTGGAATCTACCGGCTCCTGTGCCGGGCAGAGCGTCTCCTGCACCCAGCACGCGATCTCTCTATTAGCAGCGCCAGGAGCCCACGCAGTCCCCGCCCCCTGCCGTGGGCTCCCCGCTCTCCCCTTTGCCCCGAAAGTCAAGACTGCCTTGCTGTTGGGTACACAGTCCTGACCCATGACCTTTCTCTCTGAGCAGGGCCAGAGGGAGTTTTCCCCTGTGATAGGCCGATGGCTAAACCCTTCAGGGACACCCTGGCCCCACTCCTGTCAGTACTGTGCCCCAGGCATCTCCCAATGCAATGGGGGAGGTTATTGGCCAAGAAAGGGAAGGACTGCAATTTTCCTGGATTCCCCACTCCCCCTGTCTCCCACTCCTGTGCCCCAGTTCAGCCTGGTGAGGCTGTCAGTCCAGTGTCCCAGCTTCCCAAAGGGGTGGGCATATGGCTAGCTACGCCAATCACAGTATATCCTAATCCTCTTGGGCAACGGTGATTGGCCCTAGTGTGGCTGTGATCCCTTGGGTCCCTTACCAGAATGCGAGCTGCCGGAGGGCAGGGAGTTCCTCAGTTACCTGGCCAGTGGCATTGGTTCCATTGGTTCCATAAATATTCGCTGAGAGGATGAATCTGATGGAGTCACCTGTGTGGGGACAGAGGTGCTGGTGTGAGGCTGACCTCAGGCACCAGGAGGAGGGTTGCCACTGGCCTATATATCGTCTTATATAAGGGTGTCCGACTGGCAGTTTAGGCCCGATCCCTGCAGGGGACCCAAATTGGAGAGGGTACAGGCTGGGCTGAGGGACCCCCCCCCCCCCCCCCCCCCCGCAGCAGATGAATTAGGAAAAGTGCCCCGCTGGGCCAACGCTGCCACAGATCAGGGCACAGAGCTTGGCAAGCAGAGTGATGGGTATATTTCAGCTCTCATGCAGCCCCTTAGCTGGAGCCTTTGAGCAGGGCTGCAATGGCCAACATCGGTAGCCCCCATCCTCACTGTCACTAGGACAGACAGACCTGCTGGTGGATGAGGCCAAGAGAGAGACAGACAGCCCTGGTGACCTCATTTGATCGCTAGACCCACCCTGGACTCCCCTGTCATGGAGCCAGTGAAGCCCCTTATTTTGCTTAAGCCGGTTAGGTCGGGTTTCCATAGCTTGCCAGGGAAATGTCCCGCCGACACTGCCTTTCAGTTCCTGAGGCCTGTAGGTTCCTGGACGTGGTCCCTCCGCACCCATCCCTCCCTGGGCATGAAGGCGGTCAAGCCAAGAATAACTGTGGTTTTTAGGAATTGGTCACGAACCCAAAGAACTGGACCCAGTTTCTAGCTCTGGTCCCTGGTGCCGGCTGGCCTGGATTGGGATCCGAGTTCCATCACTCACCAATGTTTGTAGCCTGGGACCATTACTTACTCTCACTGGGCCTCAGTTTCCTCGTCGGGACAATGGGGATAAGAGCAGTATCGACTTCACAGGGTTGTTGAGAGAATTACATGGGTTAGTTGGGTGGACCTCGTTGAGTATACCTGGCACGTGGCAAATACGTGCCGTGATGTCAGCTGTGTTATTACAAGCGTGGGCTCCTGAAGAAGCCTCCTTCGCCATCTCTAGATGGGAGCAAGACTCCCACACCCAGAGGTTGTTATGAGGTTAAGTGGGATGGAGTGGGCCAAGCCGTGGGCACGGGGCCTCGCACACAGTAGGTGCTCAGGAAATGTAGTTGAATGTGAGTCTTGGGCGCTTCGCTGACACCTTTGAGCTGAGCTCACCTGCCCCAGCCAAGTGGAAAGGAGCCCGCGCTTCAGCTGGGAGCCCAGCAACGAGGAACTAAATCCTGGTGCATGTCATTCCCGAGTCAAAGTTCTCCTGCGAAGCTTCCCGCAGGAGCCTCCTCATCCTAGACGGCAGCTGCTCACCTCGTGGCTCACCTGCTCACTAGCTCGTCCTCCAGGGGCCAGAGAAGGGGAGAGGGAAGGAAGGGGAAAGTCTTTGATTGGTGGGGAGCCTGCCGGCAGGTGACCATCACTGGGTCCCGAGGACCAGTCCGCCATATCAGCAGCCCGGTTCTCTGCCTGTCCTCTGCTGTTTCTGGTAGTTAGTGTGTCTGAGCATTTAGGGCAGCCTGGGGGGTGCGGGGGTTAGGTAGGGTGGGTGGGCAGGAACACCTGAGGCTGGGGCTGCAGAGCAAAGCAGAGGGAACCAGCTGGGAGGACCCCTGCCTGGGACGAAGGGAGCAGCAGGGACCCGTGCTCTGACACCCAGAATGTTCGTCTGCACTGCATACACTGTCTGCTGGCCGCTGACCCCACAGCGTGAAGCAGGACCCGTCTGCCTGGACCAGCCATGGGACCGAAACCGAGGTCGGGGGGTGGTGGGGGTGGGGGAGGAGCAGGGGTCCTCATCTGTAAAACCGGAGCAAATAACATCTGCCAAGTGGGCCCTGAGGCATGGCGAAGACTCCACCAAGTCAAAGGTGTGCGCTCCGGCCGGAAATGAACTGCTCTCTCGGCCTTGGGAGGACCTTTGTCTTCCCCAAGAGCCCCCCTACCCCACCCCCCAGCTTTGTGCTTCCTGGCTGGCTTACCTCCCACTTCGTTTATTGGGGGCGGGCAGGGGGGCTGAAGTTGATTCTGTATTTTAGAGATGAAGAAACTGAGGCTGATGGAGGGGAAGGGGACTTAGTCCAAGTCAAGCCCAGGAGAGGACACATCCCCAGAACTCCCGTCTGCCACCAGAGGGCGCTCCCTAGGGTGAGGAGGTCCAAGCCCTGCCACTTTCTGCTGTGTGATCTTAGGTAAGTCTGGGCCTCAGTTTTCTAATCTGCAAAATGGGAGGGTGATGATTATCAATCCTTAATAAACTACACGGCACATAAATGTTCAAAATGCTAGCTAATACATAGTCTTAACTGTCTCTCTGGGAGGTACTGTTCTACGTGCTGGTATTATTGCTATTATTCTTGTTAGCAAACAAAGGACTCATATATTATTGATTTTTTTACAGAAAGGAAGGGAGAGGGATAGAAAGTTAGAAACATCGAGGAAAGAGAAACATCGATCAGCTGTCTCCTATACACCCCCTACTAGGGTTGTGCCCACAACCAAGGTTCATGCCCTTGACCGGAATCGAACCTGGGACCCTTCAGTCCGTAGGCCGACGCTCTATCCACTGCGGCACACCGGTTAGGGCAGGACTCCCTTCTTATTTTCTCATTTCTGGTGAGAGCTAGAATTTAAAGCTCCCCCTGTTTGCTCTGCTGCTACTTCGGTTTCCAGAAAGCCGTTTTCCTGAGCCCCCGTGGCTAACAAGATTGCCCAGACGACCAGGTTTGCAGCCTCTAGGCTTGGAGGTTCCCAAGAAAGGAGAGAGCAAGTGATGAAAACCCGACTTAAATGGCTTAAGCAAAATAAGGGGCTTCATTGTCTCTGTGACAGGGAAGTCCAGGGGTGGATCTAGGGTCAAATGTCACCAGGGCTCTATCTGTCTCTCTCTCAGCCTCATTCACCAGCAGTTCTGTCTGTCCTCGTGACAGGGAGGGTGGGGGCTCCCTATGCTGGCAATTCGAGCAGTTCGAAGACTCCAGCTAAGGGGCTGTGTGGGAACTGAAATACAGTGGGGCCTTGACTTATGAGTTTAATTCGTTCTGAGACCGAGCTCGTTAAGGAGCTCGTTAACTCAAATTACTCTGTCAACTCAATGCAAAAAATCCGCGGAGAGACAGCTGGTATCTCAAAAAACTCGTTAGTCGGGACACTCGTAAGTCAAGGCCCCACTGTATATCCAACGCTCTGTGTGTCCAGCTCTGCGCCCTGGGACACGGCAGTGTTGGCCTGGAGGGCCCGGAGCTGGTGGGGGCTCAGTGGGTGACATAGGCACCGAGTCCTTGCTGTGTGCCCGGAGTTCGCCTGCTCTGTCTCATTTAAGCCCCACACCTGCCGGGTAGGTGCTACCATCCCATTAAGTGGTAAAGACGCTCCGAGAGGTAGTCATAGAAATACGCTCCCTCAGGCGAGCTGATTCCAAAGGCCCTGCCCTGACTCCGAGCTGAGCCTGGAGGCCGCGGAGACCCGCCCCAAGCAGGGAGTGTCCGCCCCGAGCCACTTGCCCAGGGAGGGTCTTCACCTGGACCTCATTTCATCCGCTGGGTCCTGGCCTCCCCTCCTCCAGCCCACCTATCCCAGAGCCCCCCAAACCCCCCTGCAGCCTCACCGTATACCACTTCCCCTGCTCCCACTTATGTCTTGGCAGCTGCTTCCAGTTTCTTGAGCATGTCCACGGGTTCTCACCATCAAAGGGTGGACATCATCTGGTCCCTGAAGCCACCCCATCTTCCCTGGGACCCCTGACTGCCCGCCACAGGCCCAAGGCCAAGCCTGAGCCGAGCCTCAGGGCCTGTCTGCCACCAGAGGGCGCTCCCGGGGCGGCCTTTCTGGCTGCTGAGGGGTGGGGCCCCGGGGAAGGGACCAGCCCTGGGGATGCTTTGCCAAGAGGCTTCTGGAGACAGGGGTGTCCTGACAGGATGACCCCACCTGGAGCCCAGGAGGCCCTGGACTGTGAGGCCCTGGGCACCTTTGTTATTCAAGCCCCGGTCCTGGGAGATGCCCATGGATGGAGGAGGAGCCCCAGCATCCAGGACCGTGGGCTCAGCCTCCGCCTTCCCTCCCCGTCCACACTGCGGCTCAGGCCAACTCAAAGTCAAAGTCAGAGCAGCCCAGCAGCTGGTTTCCCATTCCTCACTCATCGATTCACCGACTCATTCATTCAACAAATATTAGTTGAGCCCTTGGCTAAGCCTTGAGAGACCCAGACAGCCCCTGCTGTAGCAGAGCATTTAGTCTGTTGGGGGACAGGGATTAATGGTAATGTTGTGCGTTAAATTCTACAACAGGTGTGAGCAGAGGAGACTCCAGGTGCAAAATGGATGTACAGAACCTTTACCTGCAGGACAGAAAGTCTTCTCAGGGAGAGATGACAGCTGAGCTGAGACCTGAAGGATCTGGGGCATTAGCTAGGCAAAGTGTGCCAAGCACAGGGATCAGTTTGTGCACATGCCCAGAAGCAAGAGAGCGTTCACTCACTCAGACATTCATTCATTAATTTACTTGTTCACGCATCCATTCATTCAACAAATGCTTTTCCAGCACCTACTATGTGCCAGGCACCATCTAGGCGCTGCCGTTGGCTACAGCAGTGAACCAGGCCAATAGTGCCCCTACCCCAAGGCTCTTACATGCTGGTGGGACAGGGCCATTCAGGTCATTCAAAGAAATCGTAGGGCGGAAGGAGACATGTGGAAGGGACAGTGGCCTTTCCTCTGCTCAGAATACTAGGGCCCCATTCTCCACCTTCTCCTGCCTAGCCTGGCAACAAGCCGCCAAGCCTTCCTGCGCCGATCAGCTGTGGGGAGGTCACCAGTCCATGGTGGGAGCCTCTGCCAATGTATTAATAGCTCAGTCGAAGGCCTGAGGAGCAGTTGTGCTAATTACAATGATGAATGGATTTAATTTACTTAGTAAGAGTAATGTGCTGTCATTCTGTTGTCAGAACCCAGCCCAAGTGCCCACTCGCTCCCTTCTCCCCCTACAGGTGCCCACCCAGGTTCTGGCAGCCTTCCCCCTGGTGGCCCAGCATCCCTTGAGCCCAGGCACCTTCCTGGCCATCACCACGCCTGCTTGGGGCCTGTCTGCTGCCCCCTGGGTGCTGAGGGAGGAACGGTCTTCTCCACCCCACGTAGGGAGCTGAGGCCCGTCCCCCGCCAACTAAACATTTAAAAGGAATGCTCACTTCAGCAGGCGAGGTACATTCTGGGAAGGAGAAATTCAGCCAGTTGGGGAGGTGGCCCGCCCATCCCTCCAAGTCACCTCTGCACAGGGCAGGGAGAGCCCCCTGATCACTAGTTGTCCCCACCCCATCTCCCTCTGTCTCATCCCCATGCACCCCTCACCCTGGCCCACACCCTTTTACCTGGTTCCCTGCTTCCTGACCATCTCTCTGCTCCGGAGCATGAGCATCTGTGATGACAGGGACACTGTCAGGTGCTCTGTGTGTCAAATCCCCAAATGCACACGAGAGCCTCGCTCCCGCACCCCGTGTGCCTCAGTCCTTGCAACAGGATGACTGGGGCTTCTCCCAATCTGTGTGTCTCCCTGCTCCACTCGCCTTCCAGGTGATGGCTGTGGGTGACAGGTAGCCCGGTGTCTTCATTCTGTCACCTGAGACATGCAAGGTCATGCAGCACAGAGGTGGAACAGAGGTCACACCCAATGATCTGAACCCAGGGTCTGTGGGAGCAGGACGTCCAGCCCAGAACGGCCTGCCCACGTGCAGCCAGAGAAGCCCAGGTCTCCATTTCCAGTGGGGGCTCAAGCCTCACCCGGACCCTCCTTTGACTGCTGTCATTGTCCTGGTGACCCCAGGGAGGGACTAAACTTTCCTTATGATTGACAGTCTCCTGCTGTCTAACCTGACTGCCTCCGGTTGCAGCCAATACTGCTCGCCATCAGTGTAGTTGGTGGGGGACTGGCTTCCACCTTCCAGGCCCAGCCTGAGACCCCTGGGACCGCCAGGCACTGTGACCGCCTTGCTGCCCGAGCCTGGCCTCGCCTTGGGTGACAGCAACAGTCTAGTCCCTCCCCTCCCGGCTCCCGGGGTGGCTGAGACAAGCTCGCTCAGTGAGTGGTCACGGTTGGTCGGGGAGAATGGGGTGGTGTTTGTTTTGTTTGTTCATTGCCACGCTTGCCTGAGTAGGCAGCTGACTGGCAGCCCGCCCAAGGGAGCCCTTCCCTCCCCCAGGCCGAGCATGGCTGAGGCTAGGAGGAGAGCAGGGGTTTCTGGGATAGGGCTCTGTCTCCATTCATTCTCCCTGCGGGGCTGAGAGACGTCACCTGTCAACCTTCAGCCTAATTGGAACAGGACAAAGGCAGCAGGAGGGACGGCAGCCAGACTCGAAGGAAAGAGAGTCCGAAGCACCGAGATGTCACCCAGCGGGACAGCCCGGCCTGGCCGCTAGCTGTCACATCTTGCTTGGCCTCAGTTTCTCCATCTGAATGAGCTGAAAGCGAAGGCCTGTTCTGGTTCTGGGATTCGACATCTATGATTCCTGCCCCAGGACACGACCAGGAATGGAGCAGGGTGGGCCCCTGGCCCCTCGTGGGATGCCCAGCGTTTGCCGGAAGTGCTGGCACCAGGCTGGCCCCTAATGGCCAGCTTCCTGCAGATATGAGAACTGCCGGGCCCCAGCGGGCAAGAGGCCAGATTGATAGTCGACTCCCACAGCGGGGGAGCTGGTCCGGCCTCATCGGTATGCAGTGGCCGTGCCGAGTGCTTAAGAAAAACTTATTAATTTCCCCTCCACAAAGACTGAGAGTTCGACAGTAATCATAGTATCAAGTCATAATAAAAAAAATCTCTCCGTTGAAAAAGCGGTTGGGGCTCTGGAGAGTTCAACAGGAAAAGATTGTATTAAGATAAAGGAGATTATAGCCGAGCGGACGTTAAAGGTTGTCATTGTCTGGGAAATCACATCAGGGAGGCCCGGGGACTGCTGTATCCTAGCAAGGGAGTGAGGTCCCCGTTCCTGACCTGGCGACACCCTGGCCGGCCAGCCCGCCTCTCGCCTGTCTCCCTCAGGCCTCCCGCCTGCCCCCCCAAGGCTCAGGAATCGGATGTCCGTTTGATCCTAATGGCCTGAGGACCGGCATTAGGGGCAGAGGGTGGGACAGCCTATAGCAGCGGTTCTCAACCTTGGCTGCACATTAGAACCACCTGGGAATCTTTTAAAAATCCTGATTTCTGGGCCTCATCCTCCGGAACTTCTGTTTCTTTGTTACTAATGTTGTGGCCCCACCCCATAACAAAGAGACAGAATTTGCAGAGGATGAGGCCCAGAAATCAGGATTTTAAAAAGATTCCCAGGTGACTCTAATGTGCAGCCAAGGTTGAGAACCACTGGTCTATAGATTCTGGAAGGCACTCTGGCAGGCCCCTGATGTGGGGACTTTGGAACATTTGCCCAGCAGTGGAGGGGCCTGGGGGGAAGTCCTGGTGGAAAGTCCCAGAGAATTCCAGTGAGGAGGAAGCAGGATGAGGCCACGCAGGCTCAGATGCTGGGTGGCCATTGCCCGCCTTGGGGCTGTCACCAAGTGACGGTTGGCTGGGTGGGGTGCAGGGCAGAGCTGGTGTGGGGTCCCTTCCCTTTGCCATCTGCACTTGGGCCAAATGAGAGGTTGCATAGACTTTAAAGCTGCAGTCAGAGCTAAACGTTACACTGGACTCAGGACAAGACCTTTCCAGGTTTAATGGTTGGGAGGCCGCCTGGAAGAGTGGCGCAATGATGGGTCTCCCCTGTCATTATCGAGGGGCCCATATCATGTGGAGCTGAAGAGCGCAGACTCCTTGGCTTTGAGTCCTGGCTCTGCTATGTATTAGCTGTTTGTCCTTGGACAAGTTACTTAACCTCTCTTTGCACCAACTTTCTTTTATTATTTTAAAATATATTTTATTGATTTTTTTTACAGAGAGGAAGGGAGAGGGATAGAGAGTTAGAAACATCGATGAGAGAGAAACATCGATCAGCTGCCTCCTGCATGCTCCCTACTGGGGATGTGCCTGCAACCCAGGTACATGTCCTTGACCGGAATCAAACCTGGGACCCTTCAGTCCACAGACCGACGCTCTCCACTGAGCCAAAACGGTTAGGGCTGCACCAACTTTCTTATCTATAGAACGGTGGTCATAGTATCTACCTCATAGCATTGTGATGAGGATTAGATGATTATCTATATATATACAAGCCAAGCGACTGGAACGACTGGCACGACCAGTTGCTTTGATGCACACTGTGGCCCGATTGGCCCCCCACCCTGATCAGGGGCCGCGGCCAACCTCCTGCATCCCCTCTCCCTGACCAGCCCAGCCCCAATCGGCCCCAATAAGAGTGGGGCCAGACCCCACCTGTGCACGAATTCTTGTACCAGCCTCTAGTCGTACATGAAGAGCTATAAATACAAATCTGCTCTGACCTCCTAACTGTCCTTGCCGAAGGTCACACAGCCGATAGGTGGCTAAGCCACATCCTGGGACCACCTCCCGCCCATCACCTTCGTTCCTCAAGCAGAATGGCGGCCAAGGGCTTGGGCTTTGGAGCCCACAATGCCCAGGGCTTCAGCTTGAGTAAGTGACCTGACTTCTCACCCCCAGCTCCCTCTCCCATAAGATGAGAAGTCACTCGCCCTGGGGAAGCTCTGATACTGTGAGAAACTAACTCAGAACGGGGTGCCAAGGCGGGCGGCCACCTGCCATCTCTGCCTGTGGACGGCCAGCCCAGCAGGCGGGGCTCCTCCCCTGGCCCTCCAGGTGGCACCTGGCCCTCTGTGGCTGTGAGCTTTGGGCACTGGGAGCTGTTCGGGAGTGGCCCTGGTGTTCGAGGCTGAGCAAAGAAGGCCAGGCGCGCTCGGTGGAATGGGGTTGTGGGGAGATTAATGTGAGGCTGGGTGAAGTAGCTCAGGCAAGTCATTTTCCCAGTTAATATGCGCATTTGAGGAATGATTGGAGAGTGTGAAAACGTTTAAAAGGAATGCTAATTTCAGCGGGAGAGATAAATTCTGGGAAGGAGAAATTACAGAGGAGGACGAAGCCAGGGTGGGGGTGGGATGGAGGGGCCAGGCATCTCTGCTCAGAAGGCAGCTCCATGGGGAGGTTCTCTGGGACCCTCTGTCGGGGTCTTTGTCTGCATTATTGAGAGGAGGGCCTGGGGGAGGATGCAGCTCAGAGGGGCAAAGTTAGGGTGAGAGCTGGGAAGGCTTCATGGAGGAGGCATTGCTTGAACTGAGCCTTGAGAGATGGGCGAGGAGGAGGGAGTGGGACCTTATGGACATTGGACTTTTCACCCGGGAGATCCAGGTGGGGTGGGGCAGCCCACACAGGAGGTGAGACTCAAGTTTCCTCAGGCCTCTGTGCAGGAGGAGGCCTAGGAGAGGAGCCTCCAGATGGGAAGGGTGGGTTCTCTGCTCCCACCTGCTGCCATGTCACACACGCATCCCCAGCCTTGATAGTGGGACTGGAGGCCCACTTGGTATTCACCCCTCCCCACAGCCCTGCCCTCCTCACAGCGCTGGCCGTTCCCTCTACAATCTCATTTGCACCACTAGAGAGTGAGTCATCCAGAATCTTCCAGGCACCCTGAGCTCCGAGACCCCAGCCCATCTCACACTTGTCCAGTTGAAAAGTGGGGGGAGCCCATCCCCCAGCTTGCCTGTTCCTCCGGCTCCACCAGAGACCTGAGCGCCAGGAGTTGGTGCCCATGAAGCCAGCTGGGATGAAGGGCCTTCCCAAGTGCCCGGGGCGGTTATTAATACCGTCTCCAGGCTCCGAAGGCTCTTTAATTCTCTGCTACAACCACTCTGGAACCCGTAGCACTTGCCCCTTAGCCTGTGGTTATTCCACTCCCTTAATGGCCGTTTGCGGAGGGACCTTATGAAAGCTTTCCCAGCCTGAGTAAATCATGTCCCCTGGCCATCCTGGCCTGCAGTTTTATTACCTTCTTACGAGAAGTCAGAGGGACAGAGGGAGGCCCGTGTTTCCTCTGTCTGTCCCGCCCAGTCCTAGCACGGCCCTTACCTCGGGGTGTCCTCATGGAGGACATTACTGAGGTCAAGAATGGTTGGGGAGCCGAGACCGGTTTGGCTCAGTGGATAGAGCGTCGGCCTGTGGACTGAAAGGTCCCAGGTTCGATTCCGGTCAAGGGCATGTACCTGGGTTGCGGGCACATCCCCAGTAGGAGGTGTGCAGGAGGCAGCTGGTCGATGTTTCTCTCTCATCGATGTTTCTAGCTCTCTATCCCTCTCCCTTCCTCTCTGTGAGAAATCAATGGAATATATTAAAAAAAAAAAAAAAGAATGGTTGGGGGGTCCCCGCCCCGTGCTCCTCCCTCCTGCCTCCTCATCCAATGCTTCTGGGAGGGTGCGGGGACTTTCCCCCCATCCGTAAGGTCAAGGGCCGTGCCTTCCTGCGACTATCCCAGGAAGCCTCTCAGAGGGGTTTCCGGCCCTGGGTGACCAGGGGCGGCGGCAGAGGTTTTGTAAATTCCACCTGCAGCCTAGAAAGGTGACTCCCCCAAGGGGCAGCTGTGTGAGGGACCCCGCGAGTGGGACATCGGAGGAAGGGCCTAGGCATCCTACTCAGGAACGCCAGACCCAGAATCAGGGGTTGGTTGTTCCCGAGGCCCCATAAGAGGTTCCAGGCCTGACCTCTGACCTGTGCCGGGGGCAAAAGCAGGCTTCCCCTTTGGCCAGCTCTGGGCTTGGAGTTGAGGGCCAGTCCTGACGCCCTCACCCTTTCCCCCTGGGTCCCTCCCAATAGTGGCTCTCGGGCACCGGCACTTACCATGGTGCCAGGCTCTGCATTGAGGGCTTTCCATGTGTGATCTTTCATCCTCACAACCACCTCCTCCTAATTAGTACCTTCCTTCCATCGCACCCCCATCCCCACTTCCTGGATCACAGCCATGGCACTAATTGTTCACTCGTTGCCTATCTTCTCTCCCAGACTGTAAATCCCTCTTGTCGCTGCAGCATCCCCAGCATCCACTCTAAGGCCTGGCACATAGTAGGGGCTCACTACCTATTTGTTGAATCAATGAAGGACTTAAGCGAGGCTCAGAGAGGTAAGTCATTTTCTCAGGGTCACACAGCTTGTCTCTGGTGGAGCTGAATTCACACCCAGGCAGATGGCCTCGTCTGAGCTCCTACCTGCTCTTTCCTGTTCCCTTGTGCTGCCGGGAGGAGCTCGAGTCCCAGGCCCAGCACAGAAGCCAAGAATATCCCCAACCCTGGGGCCTTCACACTCCCCTCTGCAGAATGGGTGGAACGCCTCAGTGGTGCTGGGAGCAGGGCCAGATTCGCCCCTGAGCTGGGGCCTGGCCGCCAGGCACCCTCTCTGGTCCGAGGTTCCTCTCCTGGCCCCCAGGGAAGATGTGGCTTCGTGCCCCAGCTGGGAGTGAGAGCCAGCCTCGAGCTGGGGTGGCAGAGAGACAGAGGAAGACACGGCCCTCAGATGGGTGGCTATGGAAACAGAGGCCGCGTGCCTCCTTCCTGCTGGAGGAAGCAGGGGAGGCCAAGGACACCCGCCAAGTGCGTCAGCGGGGCCTGAAATAGATCCTGAACCGACGACTCCCCCAACCGTGCACGCACTGTTCGGTTCCCCATCACCCCTCGCCCATACAACCCGAGCTGCTCCCCCCTCTCCACGGACCCTGCCCGCTACTCTCCACCCAGCACCCAGGGTGATTCTAGAAGAACAACCTGCTTAAAACTTCCAACGGCTTCGATTCCACCTGCAAAATCTCCCACGTGCTCTCGGAGTTGCAGTAGCTGCTTCATTTCAGGCCGCCCGCCCCACCCCCGCCCTCCCCGCAA